GACTCCATACTACTTACACAGAGTTTTATTTAAGGTAACTTACAGATGGAAGGATGGGGCAGGTGACGATCCAGCTATTCTCCACAAAGTCAAGAACTTAGTCCACAGATTTTATAGAGCAGGGGGATGTGCAGAGATCATTATGGTGAGGTCACAGGGTTTAACATTTAACAGATCTCATGGTGCCATATTTGCAACAGAGTGGGGGAGGGGAAGAAATGATGTTTTCTCTACTAGTTATCTAAACAACTTTAGGGAAGATCAAAACAAACCTTCCTGCATTCTGGTCAGGGCACACATTACTTCCAAGGGGCCTGGACCACGTAGCCCCAAGGGATGTCATTGCTCTGGCATGAAGATGGAAGGCCAAAGACGGATGAGTGTTGCCAGCTCTCCTACATCAGGGAATCCTGGAATCTTGCTGCTCTGAGAGCCTCCAATACCAAGCAAGCCCATCTCCCACTCATTTTACAAAGGAGAAAATGAACTCCAGAGAGACAAAGTGACTTGCCCAAATCACACAGCTAACAGATGGGTGATCTAGGAACAAAAATCAGATTTCCTGACACCTCCCCCAGCCCCTTTTACACTATACCCAGCACTCGAAAGCCCTGTAGCCTCTGAGCTTTGGGCCAAGGCAGGGAGCCGGGCCAGACTTCTAGAAGCACCATTCTCAGCCTCACCTAGACTCAAGGGCTCAAGGCAGGGTTGGGGTGCAAACACTTGCTAAGACAGTGTGTGACAGCTTGAAAGGAGACACACAGCGTGTGGGAGCGCACACCCCCCGGATGTGGAAGAGCAGCTCTGAAAGCCCTCCTGGGATTTCTTCTTCCTAATGAGAGAGTGAAACGCAACAGGCTGGGAGGTCAGACAGAGCGAAATTCAGTCCCCCTCCCAGGACACTCACTTAACTTCCCCACTTCCAGCTTCTTCATCTATAAAACGGAAACAGTAATACAAAGGGCGATCTGGGAAAAGAAACTGCCTGTTACAGAGGATGGCACGTAGTAGATGTTAAATAAATGCCATTTCCGTCTCCTTGGCTTTCCCTTAACCAAATGATGGTGATTAGTGTACAATGAAAAAAAAAGATGGCAGAGTGTGGTGTTGTGTATCTTATTCCTCGGGTGACCATTTCAAAATTTCTGCTATCCTGCTGTGGAAGTTTTCTCACATTTTCTTTGCCTAAAGAAACATTTGGATATCAAAATATGGACCTCGTATTAAGTCAGGAAACCAAAAAAAAAAAAAAAAAAAAAGGAAAAAAAGATCTTCATTCTGTGGCTGCAATAAAGGTTTCCTTCTCCAGCGATAATCAACTCTGCATAATTAAAATCGCTCAGACTGCTGAACTAATTTTCAGATGGAGGTTTCTTCCTGTAGCAACACTTACAAGCAAAGTTTCTACTGTGAATGAATTTAATCGTGAGTCTAATTACAATTTTAATGAATATCTCCAGCCCTGCATGTAAACTTGCTCTCCACGGCTTTGCTATCTGTGAGGGTATTTTAAGGTCTTTTCATTTTTAACATAAAGGAATGTGTTGGCAAAACGAACGTGTAGTAAAGAAATAGTCTTTCTGGTTTAGTTTGGTTTTGTTTTGATGATCGAGTGAGAAAATGTAAAATGTCTGTTGTTTTAAAGACCCTTTTCAGCTTGGGTATTTCACCTTTAGTCTTTGTGTGAAGTGTTCTCTTTTCTTAAGGGTGGAGAGAGTACTTTGCAACATTTGCCTTCCGTTTGCGATTTGGCATTTATTATCTCGTTTCATGAACGTCCAGAAAATTAGAGTTCCAGCCTACCTTGGAGCTTCATCTATTCTGGAAATTCAAGGACATTTTATAAAGAAGTAGAAAAGAGGAGGGAATGTAAAAAAAAAAAAAAAAAAATTCCTTCCTTAAAAAATATATTGAAAAAGATATAAATAATGGCCAAACTAAGTCACTCAAGTAATCAAAATGAATAAACAAACAAAACTTGACTTGATTAAAGTCAGCATTTTTTATAATAGGGAAAAACTGGAAACCATGCAATATCCAACAACAGACAGTGAAATAAATCATCATGTGCTCAAAGACGACTTAGGAACACGATATTTTTCTCTTTTTTAACTTTTTTTTTTATGACACAAACAAGACATACTCATTTAAGGAAAATGATCAGCTATAGGTAATTTAAAAGATTTTTTTAAATGGCCCCTATGATATCACAACCTAGAATTAAGGATTGTTAAAACAGATATTTATGTGAGTATATACTATAGGGATTTATATATACACATAATATTATACACACACACACATACATATATATACACATGCATGGTACATCTATACTACACAAAAATGGTTTCATACTGCATTTACTGCTCTGTAATCTGCTTTTATCATTTAATAGCATATTGTAAACAACTTTCCATGTCAATAATTATGTTTAGGCAACATCAAAACAGACTGCAAAAGCAGAGCTGCAAGCCCACCCCAAGCCCTCCAGGCCACCAGATTGTATTCCTGTTCCTATCTCTTCTCAAGGCCAAATGGTTTGGAGCCGATGGATTGATCATTTACTCTGTTGCCCCCTCTGCCTAGAAGCCCCTTCCCTTGCCCTTTTGTCTTCATCCCTTAGGCTGGTAGAATGCCCCTCCTTTGTGTGGCCATAGAATTGGGGACTAACCTCTGGTAGAATCTTGTCTGGTCAGCTCAGGACTCTTGAATTCATGAGACAACTAACTCAGGTCTGTTCTTACCACTTGGAAACCAAGTGAAGATGACACCACCAGGAATAAACCCAAATCACTCTGTAACCCCACTGCAGCTGTAAGCCCCCAGAGAGAGCCCTGTAATTTGCAACACTGACCCCCAGCCCCTGACACCAGCAGGAACTCCGCTCCTGCAGCCCCGGGATCCCTCACAGCATGGATTCTTTGGGACCCCACCTTTTGGGTATCACTAACTTCTAATTGACAGGCAGTCTGCAGACAGATTTTTGCTCACACAATATACCAAACCTCAGGGAGTCTGGGAAAGAGACTTCTAGTTTCTACCTTAGGAGGAACGGACTCTCCAGAGTGGAATTCCTCAACAGATAAGGGTGTTCAAAGGTGCTGTATGCACAGAAAGAGTAGCTAATGCCGACCATTGCAGGAAAATTCCTAAGTAGCTCATCTTCCAGAAAAAACTGCCTTGTGTGTTTTCAAGACAAGTGTTAATTCTAAGTTACAAGTGAAGATAGGTGAACCCTGAAAGGTTTAGTGTCTCTGAAAGGCCTAGGTCCTTGAGATTTGGGGGAGCTTTATTCTAGAAAATCAAGGCTTTTAACTTTCAGCCCGAACTGCCTCTCCTGTGGACTTGAAGCGTACCTAAATCCTGACCACTAGCTTCTCTGTATAACAGGATTGTGTGCTGCTGAGACAGTCTTTTCCAAATCCTCCCACTCCTTCCTCCTTGTGTTTATCTTGACCCTGACTTTCCCTCACCACTCCCCAAATAGCCACATGTGAGGGATCATTCTAGAACATGAGTGAAGAGTGCAGGTCACTCTAAAGTATGGAGAGGACATGAGATGTTCCTTCCTAGAAATATCTGTCCTTCCAGGACCCTAAAAAGGCACAAGAATGGAAAAGTAGCTGGGGATTCAAGCCCAGGTCTAGCTGGGTTCATGCTATAGGATGAGGAGAAAAAAACCAGAACAGAAATGAACACACACAATGGCAAAAACGCTTTCATAAAGAACTTCCATTTTATTAAATCAGTCTCTTAAACCATAAATTCTAGGAAGAAGCCAGCAAGTTGTTTCTGGATGAGATCTTGATTCTTTTAAGGGTGAATATGAGCATAATAAAATGGAGAAAAGACTAAATTAAGCTTTCCAAATCTAGGAAGGCTGGGGAAAGCAAACAACACAGCAAAAATGCAGAATGATTTGACCCCAGTCAACAATGTAGTAAATTTAGATGGGATTAAAAAATATATATCAAGATAAAAAGTACCAAACATCCCTAACATCACAAATTTCCAAGAGACCGAAATCCTTTTTTTAATATATAATTGAAAAAAGTCCACAACTGTCATGTAAATGGACACTAAGAGAAGCCCAGCTAGGGGCTTTAGTTCAACCGTGGCTAAAAAGAGGCAAGGAACTTCATGGAGAAGCTGAACGGACACCAATCAAAAGGTCCAGATGGCATAAATCCTTAGGTCTTAAAAAAAAATAGATAATAAACTTACTGAATCATTACCACTTTCTTTATAAGTCAAATAGCACTACAGTCCCTAAATGCCTTTTATCTGAAGGGTTTTTGTTTTGTTTTTCTTTTCCAGTCTTTTAACACGGGTTGAGGAAAATTTTTCCCAAATGAGATACAGTGCTTGCCAATAACCAGCATCCATCCGAGATCCAAATCCAGAAAAATTATACAACTTAACATGCAGTCAGGGTAAAGCTTCGAAAAGTGATAATGAGATTCCTCCAAGTTGGACCCGTTTCCAGGTTCTCAGGGAAGACTGCTTTACCATGCGGTGCATCGTTGGCTCACACAGAGGACTACACACAGGACAACATTGGCTGGAAAGAATGGGGCTTGGTGTCAGGATATCTGGGGTCAGCCCTCTCTCTGTGTCCTTGAGCACGGTGACCTTGGGTGAGTAAATTAACCTCTCTGAATTTTGTCATCCTGAACTTCGTACGAAACCCGGAAAATGAGGCCCATTGCGCCATTCACATGGAATTTAAAAGTTATAAAATGCCATCAAAACATAAGCTAATGTTATCATTTTTGACTGCTACTATTCTGAGAAAAATCCTAAGATTCTGGGAGCAATGAAAATGAGCTTTCGCCCATGCCAGGCAATCTAAAACTTATGCTGGAAAAAATGTTTTGAAATTATAAAAGATAATACCGATTACATTGATGGTAAATTTAAGACATCATAGTGGGGAAAACTATCATTGATTATTTGCTGTGTGCCTGACCCTATACTTGGAGCTTTACGTACATTACCTGAGTTTTCATCCAATGAAGTGGAGTGTATCCCAGCCCCATCCTTGCAAACTCTTTGAGACTGAGTTGCGTATCCAAGATCTCATCAGTGGGTGGGTAGAAGAGCTAGGACCCAGCACAGGAGGTCTGAATCCAGAAACTGCCCATTTCAGGGACACCAGGCCCTGGCAATGAAAGACAGAAAGATAAACAATGGCAACGGAAGGAAGGTAGTGATAACAGGAGAAGCCCTTGTATTGATCATGGAAATGGAAAGTCAGTTAAAACAGAGAATCGGAAAAATGCTACATGTAAACTTTAGATATTTTACTTTAATTTAAAATACATAAAAATATGAGTTCATTTAATAAAATCAATGTTTGGGGCGCCTGGGTGGCTCAGTCGGTTAAGCGTCGGTCTTCGGCTCAGGTCATGATCCCAGGGTCCTGGGATCGAGTCCTGTATCGGGCTCTCTGCTCAGCAGGAAGCCTGCTTCTCCCTCACCCTCTGCCTGCTGCTCTGCCTACTTGAGATCTCTCTCTCTCTCTCTCTCTCCAGCAAATAAATAAATAAAATCTTTAAAAACTAATAAAATAAAATCAATGTTTAAAAGTTGCTTAGAAAAAGAAACACAGCTTTCAGAACATCTTTTTGAAGCGCATACTTTTTTTATATGTCATAACTAGTTGACTACTGATTCAATTCAACAAAGTCCACCCGGGGCCACTTTGGCTTCTGAATGATGAGAAGATATGGCCTCTAGATTTGATATTACACGTCCTTTTCCCTATCTTCTTCGTTCGTTTTTTTATTTGTCTGTGTCTGTCATAGCCTGAAGGCCTTCTTCCCTGATGCTAAGTTTATACTGTGATAACTAGGAATCATTAGTTCATTGTTATATATCATCTCTCTGTAAATCGTTGGAACCAGCAATTTGTCTAGGATCGGTTACTAAACGATGTTCTTAATTATTCTCTTGTAGTTCAGAATTTTTCCAATATTATCAACCTCAGGCAACATTTTTCTCTTCTCTGAGATTTAGTAAATGTTGAACTGGGAATTTCACTCCCCACTAAATGCTACATCGAAAAAAAAAGAAAAAGAAGAAAAAAATCTCCTTAATGTTAACAATTTTTAATGATTATATGTAACCTCTAGTCTTGTCTCTTATTTCTTGTAAAATGGAACTCCAATATTATTTTTTAAAACATTTTATAGGCCCTTGATCCCTAAGTTGGAAAAAAGAAATGCATTCTGTTATAACAACCTGGCATTAATTTAAATCACTTTCTTTACTATATTCATAACCAAAACGTGAAGAAGCATTATTTTATACCATAGGCCTCCAAAGTTTTTGCCAGTAACACAAGGCAAGAGAAATTTTACCACAGTTAGAAAATTCATATTACATATACACACATGCCACACTCACACACACACACAAAAGAAAACAAATTTTCATGAAATGCCTTGGCAACATGCAATGCGCACTGATATTTTCTGTTCTGCTTTATTCTATTTCATTTTATTTTTTTAAATCTTTTTCCCAGGGAATTTTACGACCCCCTCCAAAGAATCAAGACCCACAATTTAGAAAACACTGAGAAAGAAAGAATAAGCTTTCCAGATGTCTATTTTCTTCAAGGGTTTCCTCACAGAATGTATAAATTCATGGGGGAAAAAAATCAATTTATAGAATAATTCAGGGTCTGTCCACGCTAATTTTTTGAAGAGTACTTATCTCAAAAAGCAAACAATTTATATCTCTTAAATCTTGGAGATTTCTATTTTTGCCAATAATAAGAAGTCAGAACTGGGAATTTCAGCAGCATCGCCACAGATGCTGAGAATCTTTGCTTGGATTTTGTGTAGACTGGTAGCACTTGCTTCACCTTTTCCACCATTTAAAACTGTTTCAACTCTATTGCAGAGTTATTCCCTAAGAAAATTTTCCCTATTGATAAGTGACTTAACTCCTCTGTAAATTTTTAAGCAGCAGCTTGATCCGTAGGTAATTTGTGCCCTCCAGGGCCCAATGGCTAGGGAGCATGGCTTTTTCCTATGTATATGTCTTCCATCAATTGCTGTAAAGCTTTTGGTGTGGCCAATTTTTGGTGTAGGGCCAAGGTCTTTTCTGTAACTATTGGTCCACAAATTGGCATTCTGTGTCTTCTTTCTTGCATAAGCCACAACTATAATATATCAACTCTGATAATTAGCTTTGTTTTTTTTTTCAAAGTAGAACAAGAATTTAGACACACTTGGAATGCCATATGATTATAGAACCCTTCTAGATGCTACAGTGTTCCCCAAAACTTTTAAAGATTTTTTTTATTTCTTAGTAATCTCCATACCCAATGTGAGGCTCGAACCCCCAACCCATAGATCAAGAGTCACATGCTCTACTGACTGAGCCAGCCAGGTGCCACCCCCCCAAACTTTCACAGTTATCTTACCACATCTCATTTGACTCTAGTTCCTTCTAAAGCAGGACCCCTAAAATCTAAACTATTAAACTAGATTTTCATAGAAACAACCCTCTTTATTTTTGCATCCATAATGTATTGGTTTATGTAACATTTCATTACATATATAATTATAATAACAAGTGAACACTGTGTATACAAAATTGGGCAAAATATAACCGATTCTTGATAAGCATACACTTCAGGTGGAAGCATTAGTGCGCATAGACTACAGCAAGAAGTCTACTGGCAATGAGCATTCAGAGTGTGGTTTACGGAAGAAATGGAAAGCATTGGTCAATCCAAGAACAGGTAAAGGGGATGTGGGTTAAGAGAGCTTCTCTGTCCCATGGTAGATGTAGGAACAAAGTCCTATGGGAAGAGGTCAAGAAGGTCCCAAGACAAGAATTAAAGTATTGCCACTTTACTTAGGATGTGCAAGCCCAGGGTGGTAAGGGCAAGAGGAGAAGGGGGGATGAAATAAGGAAAGATACTGAACAGCGCAATGCAATAGAGAAGATACCACTTCACAATATGCAAGAGACATAGCTAGCAACTCAAAAGACATGTTTACTCACCGTGCAAGACTTCTCTGGAAAGTTCACAGAGAAACACCTCTGAGCAACCCAAGAAAGGGCAAAAGGAGTTGAAATTTATTGGCCCTGCTCCTCTCTGTAATCACTGGCTTCCGCTAGTGCAGGGTCTCCCCACAGTGAGTTGATTCTTCTGTACTTCAGGTGCACCGTCCAGCCCCTCAGCATCTGATCAAGGACCTGAATCACATATCCAAACAGTTGGACTTTTCAGTCTCAGTCTCAAAAGTGTGAAAGGGGAGGGGCTCAGCATGTGATGCACGAAGGTAATGCAAGTTCAGAGCTTCAGTTCAGACTCCAACCAGCTCAGGGATCTCATAAGGATGCCAGCGAAGGAGGGGATGACATTATCCAGAAAGTGTACAGCTGCATGAGAAAGAAGGGGGTACTTGAGAGAATCCGAGAAGGCACACAAGGTTCATGCCTAACACAGAAAGCTTGACAGAGAAAGCTTTGCGTTTTAAAGGACAGAGAATCAGAGTAAGGACATTCCAGGAAGAAGGGATGGTGCATTTTAAAAGACCCAGTGGGAGGAAATAGTGTGACTTTTTTAATGGAGTGCCAACAGTAACATGTGGCTGGCATATGGGGTGTACCAGAGTATGAGAGCAGAGAAAACTCAACACGTTGGATGATGGCAGGCCCACCACACTACTGATTTACAGACAATGTACAATCAACTGAAACCCCCTACATCATTATCTGTTCCCCACATCCAGACCCAAGGAGCAACCAGGCATCCTGAGTCCTAGTTCTCATCCACATTCCCACTAGCAAATATCCTCCCCAAGAGAGCAACACTCAGGGAGAAGATGGAATACAGATAAGGCTTAGAGAAAATAAAACTGTTCATTTCTCCAAAATAATGCAGCCTACATATTTCACAGAATTAATGTTGACAGAATCCACAGAGTTTAGGGAAAAGCAAAAGCCAGAACTCACATGATTTCTTCCAGCCATTTCAGAGCTCGCAATTTCTCTGCCATTGGTAACCTACCGTGGAGAATTCATTTCATGCCTGTCTACTCTGGTAAAACCTTGGAATGAATTGAATTGTTACAAAAAGGTGAAAATTAGGAATGCCAAGAGTCATTTGATGCAGCTAATTAGCAGTCATCATCTCTGCAGTTTTGCACGTGCTCCTGACTTTCTTTACCTGTAAACTTAGTTTCTGAAGTTGTGTCTGATCAAAGAATTGTGAGAAACCCCTTTGCCTGTTGTCAAGGAAAAGGTCTTCTCTCTTTACACTGGAGCATTAGAGAAAAATATTCACTTTCAAGTGATCTTCCTGTTATTGGAATTATTTTGATCAAACTAAAAACCTGTAAGCTAGAATTTAGTTCAACTACATGCTGGGTGGGAGGGATGGAGAAATGAAAGAAATGAACCTGCCCTTCCAATGGTTTCCACTGCATTTAGATTAATGTTCCTCTATTTTACTACAATAAAAAAAGTTGGGGGAAGAAAAGTCCAAGTTCCTTGTGTGGGTTGGCAAGGAGGGGATGACATTATCCAGAATTCTGGATTTCCTGATTTCTGACCTTGTCTCTATGTATGTTCCCATCCCTCAACACACTGCCTTTGTGGCTAGCTCTCCTTTCTCTGAACCCACCATGCCTGCTCCCACCTCTGGGCCTCTGCATTTGCTGTCCCCACTGCCTAGAATGCTCTCTTCCCCTCTCCCCAACCCCCCAGCTCTTTACAATACTTGGCTCCTTCATGATGGCCATATATCAGCTTGAAATTCACCTTCTCAACAAGTCCTTTCCTGACCCACATGTGTCAGTTAGTAAACACAAGGGAAGGATTGTTCTGTGGTTGGATAAGTCAGAGGCATTGGAGCTTCATCAAAGACCAGGTCCTTTCCAACTTTCCACTCTGCACCTTTAGCAGGCCAGCTATGCTTCTTTTGGGGGTCACAGATTCCATACATCATGAGGACAAGATGATGTTCAGTGAACAAGATAGACATTTCTTCTCATGCCGTTTTTTTTTAAAGATTTTATTTATTGGGGCACCTGGGTGACTCTGCAACAGACTTCCTGCTCAGCTGGGAGCCTGCTTCTCCCTCTTCCTCTGCCTTCTGCTCCCCCTGCTTGTGAGCACTCGCTCTGTCAAATAAATAATAATAATAAAAGATTTTTTTTTTTCAGAGAGAGAGCGCATGCTCACATACATAAGCAGGGGGCAGCATGGGTGGAGGGGCAGAGGGAGAAGCAGACTCCCCACTGAGCAGGGAGCCCGATGCAGGACTCGATCCCAAGACTCTGGGATCATGACCTGAGCCGAAGGCAGATGCTTAACTGACTGAGCCACCCAGGCGCCCTTTCCATGCAGTTTTTATCAGCAAGAAAAACCTCTCTCAGAGGTCCCCCAACAGCCAACTCTCTGACCCCACTGGCCAGGGCCTAGCTTTACTCAAACTAATCACTGACAAAAAGGAAGAGACAACCACAACTGATATTGGGAGGGATCTCGGGAAAGATCATATTGCTGTGATGACCAGAGAGGCGCCCAGAGAAAATAAAAGTTGTGGCAGCAAGTACAAGGAGGGAGGCAGGTTGGAGCAGGAATGGCTCTAATGAAAAGACAATCAGCAGTGACTACAACATCCAATCTCACATGGCCCCAGGCACACACTCTCTAACACAACTCACCTTTTCATCTCTGTATAGAGCTGAGTTTAACCTCATATTTCTCCTGTTCACTTATTTGTTTGTTGTCTGATGTGCCCATGCAAATGTAAGCTCCAGGAGGGCAAGGACCTTGGCCATTGCCTCACCAGGCTATTGCCAGGACCAGAACAGTGCCTATCACTTAGGGGCACACAGAGAATATTTTTGAATGAATGTATGCATGAATGTCCACATACGTGTCTGTTCTACTTTTGTACCCTTTGTGGTAGTTTGATATTCAATTTGACAAGCAGAAAAATCTACAAGACTAAAGTACTTCAATAACTATAACCTTGAGAGACAACCACTGAGCTCATAGAACCCATCTTTCCTGATTTCAATAAACCTTCACAGGAACTCAAAACAGAATGCAATGCTTTTCTCCTAAATTTTGCACCTTCTCCAGGATTCTCTGATTCCATCATGATACCACTCCCCATCCAAAAGCCCAAGGAAGAATCTGGGGTGTCTTCCCCATTCGTCCTTCTCCCTTATCCACCCCCACATCCAACAGTCAAGCCTTGAAGAACTTGAAAATCCATCCCCTCCTCTCAATTCTCACTGTCACTCTTTTAGTTAGATGGTGTTGAATAAACTCTAATATCCTTGCCAACGTAAATTTCTATGATATTTTGACCCCTATTTCCTTATTTTCCAAGGCTCACTGTTAAAACACAACTATCAGAAAAGGATTGAGTTCATTATTATTTTGAATTACATAATATCAAGAACATACATTTCTGCTTTTTCCGCCCTCACTAAGGTTACATTTGAGAGGACAAGGAAGAAGAAAAGACAGTTTAAGCTCTTATTTTAAATGGCCATTTCTTAGCAGTGGAGGAAAAATCTAGAATATGACTCAGGGTTTTTAGCTTGATACTCAGCCAATTGTGCACAATCCAATCCTGTAAAAAATCCATCAATATATAAAATAAACAAAACAAAGATAGTCCAACATCTTTTATGATTTGGGGATGTTAGCCATGATAATTTTTTGCTTTCAAACACATATCATAATTATCGAGATGATGTTAAAGAAAATTTATGGACAACCTGTGATACCGCCTTTAGTCTCCCAATCAGAAAATTCCATCTATCCTCCAAATTCCCAGAACACTTGTTATGGTACATTCATTCTCATCCTTTCTAGTATGTGTTAAATTATTTCTGACTTTATTATATCTCCTCTACTCACCTGTGAGCTCACTGAAGGCAAAACCTAAGTGTATTAGGGAGTCTTAACTCATTGGGGTCATGAAACGATTATTCACTTTTCCAATCGCTGCTTTCAGCCATACTCTGTTGAAACCCTCTCTTCCATCCCCTGATGACACTTGGGTAGAATACATAACTTCATGGTTACTTTTAGTAATTAAAAGTCCTTTCTATTTTAAAACTTCAATTTCATCTCAGATACAAAGTTACCCTCCTCTGTTTTGTGGGCTGGACATGTGGTTTGAGAGAATTTGAGGGTGAGGGTGTTCAGTCTAATTTTTCACTTCCTTCCTTTTCTCCCTCAAGACAGGCTCTTAATTCTTCAATTGTTGGAAATTGAGAAGAAATGAGGGGAACAGGGAAAGGACAAAATTTTCCTTATTCAACTAAATTGTTTGAATCGTCTCATTGTATTTGCTGCTTTCAACCACAAATGCCCTTTATATGGTGGGCATCTGTGTGTTGACTCTCCTGAGCGGCTCCCTCCAGGGCCCTGTGAAGTCACCCCTTCTGCGAAGCACAGATCTCTTCCATGGGAAACCTGGATTGCCTCTTCACTCCCCCACTCAGCTCCCACTGGTGTTGCAGACTGAGTTGATCAATCCCAGCTAATTGTGCAGCATCCTCTCAACTTCCAGAAAAATCACAACTTGGGGCATGCCAAATGATGAGACCACTGATTGCCTGGTTTCTAGCCTTTCCTAAGCTTTGCCAACTTACTCCCACTCTTTTTTCTTCTACTCAAGAGTCAGACCCACTACCTAAGAATATGTATAAGTAGGGACAAAGATGACCATCACCACTTCTTGTGGCTGACCCCAATCTTACAAGGGAGGTGCTTATCACTTGACTTTGAGGGGAAAGAGGTGGGATATCACTTCTCAATTAAACACTCTCCAACAGCACAACTCAGTCTCTCTCCCTTCATCCTTCCCACCCTCTCCTTTATAACCTGGATGAGGAACCAAGGAGCAGTTTTGGTGAGGTCTGTCGTGCCACCTGTGAGAGATGCTAACAGCTCTCTTTAGGTAGAGGGAACCCCTGCATCTTTGCCCTCTACTCTGGACTCTAGACAGCTCTTCTGCAGCTACAGGAAGAAATCCTGCACAACATCCTCTCCCGTGTATAAGTCTTCTACTGCTGCATAACAGATGCCCCAAACTCCGCAGCTTAAAACAGCATACATCCCCCATCTCACAGCTTCCATGGGTCAAGAGTCCAGGCACAGTTCATCTTGGACCTACACTCAGACTCTCAGAAGGCCACAAACATGGCATCAGCTGAGCTCCATTTGTATCTGGGGGCTTAATTAGTGAAGAATCTCTTTGCAAACCTCCTCAGGCTGTCACCAAAATTCATTTCCTTGCAGGTATATGACTCAGGTCCATGTTTTCTTGCTCTCTGTCATCCAGGGGCCTGTCTCAGCTTCTGGAGGCCACCCTCAGTTCCTTGCCACACGTACCCTCTACAGACCCT